GGGTGCCATGGCAACTTGAAAAAAGCACCTAACTCCGTCTTAGGAGGCTGGGAAGGCATTCTGGAGAAGACGTTTTGACAGAATCCGGAGGCTTGGAAGGTGGTGAGCAAGAGAGTTGGGACTGGCGTTTCAGGGGGATGAAGCAACACACACAGGCTCTGAGAGGGAGAGGCCTATCTTTGCCACTGTGCTGTGCGGCCACCTGTTCTGACCATCACTGCAGAAAAATACTGTCCTAGGCTCTCACTTCTGCCCCTGCAGCAGACTGACAATGCTCAGGGGTAGGAAGGGAACCATGAGTCTACACCATAGCATGGTGAGTGCTTCTTATGTGGCATGTTCACATTTCTAAGAAATGAGATTTTACTAAATCAAATGAATCAAAGTGGAGGAGAGTTTCAGACTGATGGGGTGTGGAAGAGATGTTTCATTCCTACAACCCTTTAAATATTTACATATTATTCCTACCTGAATATTCTTCCCCATCTCTCATTGCAAATGAGATACTTTCCGAACTTGATCTTCTTGAATTTGTATAGTGTTCTAGGTTCTGTTACGTATCGTCTTACTTAGTTTTACAAGAGTTCAAGAGAAGAGTTTAGTCTTTGTTCTGTGTTTTTATGCTGGCAACTTCTGTACCCGCCTCCTTCCTGCCTGGGCAAGTTTCAGGGGTTCCACGTGGGCTCCAGCTCACGCTGAATCTTGACCATCGTCCTGCCCTCCTCCCTCCTTCAGTCTCTAAACGCACTCCATGTTGGCACCCTCTAATGTCAGCTTCTGTGGCATTGCCAATTTTGATGCCTCAGTAAATGTGGACGCTCTTTTTTTTCTTTTTTTTTTTTTGAAACGGAGTCTAGCGCTATCACCCAGGCTGGAGTGCAGTGCACAATCTTGGCTCATTGCAACCTCCGCCTCCCGGGTTCAAGCGATTCTCCTGCCTCAACCTCCCAAGTAGCTGGGATTACAGGCGCACGCCACCATGCCTGGCTAATTTTTGTATTTTTGGTAGAGATGGGGTTTCACTCTGTTGGCCAGGCTGGTCTTGAACTTCTGACCCCATGATCCGCCCACCTTGGCCTCCCAAAGTACTGGGATTACAGGCGTGAGCCACTGCGCCTGGCCATGTGGAGGTGCTTTAAGAGTCAAGAGCAAGGCATTTGCCCCATTTTCTCTCTCTTTGGTACTTAGCATGTTGCTAAGCATATAAGTTACTATTCATTTAGGTGAGGAGCCCGTAATTGTTTGGTCCCTGTCAAAAGGTAAATAAGTCTCATTACTTTTAATATTTTTGGACTCAGCAGGAAAAGCCCTAGAGGCAAAAAAATTTAAGTTCTATAGTAAAATATTTTGTATTATCTATCTTGAAATTTTTATCAAAACCTCTAGTAAGTTTTTTCTGGCTATATAATTAATAAATGCAAATAATTCAGAGATAGTATCCTCTTATAAAATTTGGCAGGTAAGAAAAATGGAAGTACAGTAATTCTGAATTGGAACAGAATTGCTATTGACAAATTTTAAAGGCTCATAGTTATATAGATACTTTATACCATAATATGTCTTCACTTAATAAATTTCTTAAGTGTAAACAACTGGTATTAAATTTTGGAATAATACTACTTAATTGTAGTCAGCAGTCTTCTTGGAAAGTTGTTATAGAGCTGTTGTTTTCATTATTTATAGTTTCTTAATTACAGGAGGGAATAACTGGGTAGAATAAGTATACTACAGTATTAAGTTCCTGTTTATGAAAACCTCTTACTTTCTTCTGAATAATAAATACCACTTTTTTGAACAGAAACCTCCTATCTTATTCTTGCTTGTTTTGTATTGTACTACCAATATAAATGTTTTCAGAGACCTTTTATGGATGATGATTAGATGAATTTTGGGAAACAGGAAGTTTATTTTGCTTATACAGGCCATTGTTGGATTTTTTGATCATGCAGTTTTTGATAGAATGTGGTCTCAGTGGGCAGGATTCCTTTAGGAGAGTTTTAAAGCCCCCTGCAGTATGTTTGATAACTTTTGCTCTGTGTTTGCACCCCTTGCTGTGTCTTTTCATGCTTAGAACATGATGAATATTACTGAACTGCTGTCATCTGAGTGGACTGCGACACTGTCAAAAGGAAAGAGGTAAAGAAGATGAGCCTTGGGATCTGTGAGTGGTGGTTACTAAGAGCGGAGGAGTGTGGGGTGCTGCTGAGCTTGGGGAAGCCCACATATTTCGGCACAGAAACTCCCTAGGGCACGAAACTGGATCACCAAGACAACATAGGATGAGTGTCAGTGAAACAAACAAAAGGAAAGAGGTTTTTTTTAAGCATTAAGAATGAAGGAATTATTACTGTTTTTAGAGATAGAGTCTCGTTCTGTCACCCAGGCTGGAGTGCAGCGGCATGGTCATAGTTCACTGTAGTCTTGAACTCCTGGGCTCAAGCGATCCTCCCATCTCAGCCTCCTGAGTAGCTGGAACTACCATGCCTGGCTAATTTTTTTTATTTTTTATTTTGTGTAGAGATGAAGGTCTTACTATGAGCCCAGGCTAGTTTTGAACTCCTGGCCTCGAGTGGTCTTCCCACCTTGGCGTCCCAAAGTGTTGGGATTACAGGCGTGAGCCACCATGCCTGGCCAGAAAGAATTACTGTTGGCTTTTTCACATGTAAAACTCTGTGAGATAATATCTCAATCTTTATAAGTAAGTAAAAATTAAAGATGGGAGAATTTCTGTAACCTGTGATGGTTACACAGCTAGTAAGCAGTTGATGTAGAACCTGGAGCACAGGTCTTGCTGATTCCATAACTATGTTGTTTCCTCTTTACTACGTTGTACATGTATGCGAGACCATAGGGAAGAAGAGATTAGTCGCAGACAAATGATTAAGTGTTACACAGAAGGCAAGGGAACACATCACTTTAGATATTCTCGATTTTGCGTTTTCTTCCAGGGTTTGTGCAGCAGTATGTTTTGAAAAATAACAAACAAAACACCTAAAACCAGTTCTTTGGTTATTCCCTGTTTGGATACAGTATTAGACATTTTTCTAAGACAGGAGATTATCATAACAGGTTGCCGAGCTGCTTTTATTTTAAACAGCATAATTATCGATGAAACAGATAGTGCTGAAAGTAAACAATCTGTTTCAGGATTTTAAAGTTTTACAGTACATCGACTGTGTCTTCCAATTGCTCCTAAAACTGTGCCATAGGCTTCTATCCCCCTATTTAATTTGGTTGAGGAAGGGTTAAAGTTTCAGAGTGCAGAAACCTTTTAAGGAACAGGGTAGGTAATGGTTGTATACAATATCAATCATGCAAAATTGTGAAAACATTCATCTTCCATTTCATGTAATGGGAGACCTCTGGTAGCAAATATGCTCTTGTTGCAGTCTCTCACCACAATTGATTATAAGAAAATCTGGAGAAAGATATTTAAGTGGGAATGATAGATGTAATAGTTCTCTGCAGGTAGTGACATCTTTACATTTTACAGTTTAAGTAGTGTAAGCATTTAGTTTCTTTTGCTAAGCTTGTGCTTCCAGGTGTGTGGAAAGCCAACATTTTCCCTCTGGCGTCATCTCTTTATCTACTACAATTAATACTTAATGTTCCTATGATTTTTTTTGAGACAGGGTCTTACTCTGTCACCCAGGCTGGAGTTCAGTGGTGCGATCATGGCTCAAGCAATCTTTCCCACTCAGCTTCCCCAGTAGCTGCGAATTCAGATGCGTCCCACCACACCTAGCTAATTTTTTGTATTTTTTGTTTCACTTTGTTGCCCAGGCTGGTCTCAAACTCCTGGGCTCAAGCGATCTACCTGCCTCAGACTCCCAAAGTGCTGGGATTAACACGCCTGAGCCACCACATCTTGCCATGTTTTTATGATTTATTTACTTCTGATATCACCCTTTTAGATCTATGTGCTGTGTTCCCTTTCCTCGCTTCCTTCCCGGCACACAGAGGACCGACAGGGCTGACTCAGGGCACAGGGCTGGCACCCTCCGCCACTGTGTGCCAGCAGTCTTCAGACACTACCTTTGGTGACTTCTCTTCCCTCCTGGACTACCCTTCTGTCTCATTTGAACCTGTTATAAATGTGAAAGTGGGAGTGGGAAGAGCAGCCGGGGGCTTCTTAAGATTTGCAGAGGATGTTAGAACCATGATGGCCATATGTGCAGAGTAAAAAATTGAGGAGCTTACTCTGACAGATTTAAATGTACTTATGAGTATTTTAAATAAACTATCCCAAAAAATCCAGAACAGTGGCCATGTAATTTGTAGAACCAACATTCTTAGTGTCTTCTTGTAACCTGTTAAACAGATGGATACAGTAAGTGTATCTTGATAGGGAGTTGTGGGGTGACTTTTGCTAATATAAATTAGAGAAATAATACATTTATTCTACTTAGATGTTACTTTAACTACTTCACCTTTCAAATATAAGCCAAAACCAAACTTGTAAATTTTCCTTAGACATTGATGAAGAACTTTGTTCAAACATGGTTGAATTTCAACAGGATCGCTTAGTAACTGAACCAAGGATTACGTTGGCTTCCTCATCGGCCCCCAGTCCAGTCTCCTGCTTTCTCACAGTGGGGGTAGTGGTGGTGGGGTGTGTGTGGAGAGGGCTAGCACCTGAACACGAGTGAGTAAAAGTCGGGGTTACATCAGTCACCTGGGTTTCTCATCTGTGTTGGCCTTTTCTTCCTCCTCCCTTTACCGCCCTGTACTGGATATTATCAGTCTTTTTATTTTTTAACAGTCTGTAAAGTTAAGAAATTTTCATTGTTTTAATGTGCATTATATTGCAGTTCACTGGAGCGTCTCTCCCTGTAGATACTGATTCATTGCATTGTTTGTGGATGTGTTCATAGCTCCGCTGGCTACAAGCTGCTTGACATGCTTTAGCTCTGTGTGGTATTCAGAAAGCAGCTGACGCTTTGATAAAGACTTGGTCAGTTTTATTTATCTTTCATGTGTATATTTCTTTTTCTTTTCAGTTGCTGATCATCTGGGCTGTGATCCACAAACCCGGTTCTTTGTCCCTCCTAATATCAAACAGTGGATTGCCTTGCTGCAGAGGGGAAACTGCACATTTAAAGAGAAAATATCACGGGCTGCTTTCCACAATGCAGTTGCTGTAGTCATCTACAATAATAAATCCAAAGAGGAGCCGGTTACCATGACTCACCCAGGTAAACAAAGCATGGGGGCTGTTGGTTTTGTTTTTCTTCTTAGAAATCATTGCTTTATAGGTAAGCGTTCTGCCTCTGCTGAAGCCATGTAATTTCCAACATAATCCTATTAGTATTGCCATTTGTTCTTTGGGATACATGTTTTTTCCCCATAGTTGAATTTCTTCTTCTTCATAAGTAATGATGACAGCAGTTCGTACAACTTGGACTTACTAAATCACCGGCTGTGATTAAATCCTTAGTTGTTTTGCGTTTCTACATTTTGCTTACTAACTTCGACAAATAATGTATTTGATTTGGAATCATTCACCCAGGTTATGTCATGGATTCTCAAGGATTACCTGTCTGGGAAGGATTCTCTTTTCATCAGGATGAATGTTGAAACTGACGTAGTAATTCATACAATTTCAGTAGTAACAATGCTTCTTTATTTCTTCTGGAAGCAGTCAGGGTATTTCTAGTTGTTTAATAACAATAGTTGCAGTTTATTGAGCACTTACTATATAAATGCCAAGCGCTGTGTGATGAGTTTTTTAAATATGTTTTTTAGACAGTTCTTACAGTAACCATGCGTGATGTAGGTTCTCTCTCATCTTACAGACTAGGAAGGGGACTGAAAGAGGTAAGGGCCAACAGAAGAGGGCTCACACCCCAGTTTTGTTGATGTTCTGTTAGTTTCACCACTCTGTCTCCTTAAGTTGAAATCTAGATAAAATTTAGTTTTGCATTCATGAGAATTTTAGAGTTTGACTTATTTAAAGAACTAACTTTTCATCGTGTAGTTTTTACATAATGACTTTTAGCAAGTTTCTTGCAAAGACTTGCCCACCTTAACTGAGAGTCATTGGTACTTCCCTGCACATCTTGATAGAATGGTGCAGGTGGATTTAGACTTTAGTGCCCTCTGACTTGTTGTCTTCCTTTCAAACTAAGCCTTTTAGAAGTAAGATTACTTTGGAAGGCTAAGGTGGGCGGATCACTTGAGGTCAGGAGTTTGAGACCACCCTGGTTAACGTGCTGAAACCCCTGTCTTTACTAAAAATTTAAAAATTAGCTGGGCATGGTGGAGGGCACCTGTAATCCCAGCTGCTGAGGCTGAGACAGGAGAATTGCTTGAGCCTGGGAGGTGGAGCTTGCAGTGAGCCGAGATCACGCTGCAGCACTCCAGCCTGGGTGACAGAGCAAGACTCCATCTCAAAAAAAAAAAGAAAGAAGATAAGTAAGGTATATTTTTTCCAATCGCAAAAGTAACGCATGCTTATTGTACAAAAACTGAAACTAAAGAAAAACACAAAGAGTGAAATAAAATGTGTGATTTTTCACTATCCAGAGATCACTGGGGTCGTGTAACTTTTAATTTATTCAGGGAAACCAAAAGAAAATTAAGGAACAGTTTAATTTAGCTGGACATCTGTGTGGAAACATGGGGCTCAGGAGGGTAGTTTTTCTGCCGGGTTTCAGAGCAGGTGCCGGTTTGGTTTCCTCAGTTGTCTCAGAGGGAAGAAAAACTGTTTAAAAATTTGGGCCTAATGTAACTTATCTTCATTCCATGCTGATTTCTTCTTTACTTAAAACACGAAGAAAAATGAATAGGGAGAAATTCAGCTGAGCAAAATGAATTTTTCTTTCTTATTAATGTTGTTTTACTTACACAGAACCTCAGAGAAGTAGCTAAAATGAGAGTCTTTTAATAAAAGTATGAGAAGATCTGGGAATTATAAGAGGGAATTGAAATCTTAAAAAAAATTTAAATTACTTGTATTTAAAAAGGACGGGAAGCCTGTATCAATGCAGCATTTCCCATCCGTGCTCCTTGAAATGTTAGTATGTTTAGATATGTTCCTAGAGGACTCATGGGGACACAAAGTTTCAGAAAATCCTTGAAACGTAGTCCACATCTAGGGGCTCCTAGTGCTTATTAACATTTCTGGGTCTCTGAGAAGTCTTAAAGAATCTGTTTTGGCTGGTCGTGGTGGCTCACACCTGTAATCTAAGAACTTTGGGAAATACTAGGTTAATCAAAGTAAAACATAAAACAGGCTTTTTTTTTTTTTTTTGAGACAAGGTCTAACTGTTGCCCAGGATGCAGTGCAGTGGTACGATCACTGCTCCCTGAGCCTGGGGAAGACAAGGTAGGAGGGTTGCTTGAGCCCAGGAGTTCAAGACCAGCCTGGGCAACATAGGGAGACCCCATCTCTACAAAAAATACAAAAATTAGCCGGGTGTAATGGTGCATGCCCGTAGTCCCAGCTACTTGGGAGGCTTAGGTGAGAGGATTTCCTGAACCTGGGGAAGTTGAGACTGCAGTGAGCCGTGATCACACCACTGCACTGCATCCTGGCGACAGAGTTAGAACCTGTCTCAAAAACAAACACAAAACTAAACAAAAAACCTGTTTTATTTTGATTAATCTAGTGTTTCCCAAACCTATTTGACCATGTAACTCTTTTTATCACAGACGAGTGTTTAACAGCACCAATTAAAGAAATGCAGGGGTATAGTTTGAGGATATATTCTTAGGAAATGGAAGCTTTGTAACGCAAACAGTGGAGGTGTACATAAGAGCAATAGGAAATGGCCTTAGGTTGTGATTAGGTTCATAGACACTTAGAAAAAGTAATGTGGGAAACTAAACTGGGTAAATTGGTACGACACTTTGGAGAGAAATTTGGCATTGTCCGGTGTAGTTAAAAGAATCTGCACACTGTGATCGGTAATTCCACCCCTAGAGACACACTCTACTTTTCAAGCTTTAAAACTTTAATGTGCATCTCGGAATCTTGTTAAAATGCAAATTCTGATTCAGTAAGTCTGGAATATGGCCCAACAGCCTGTATTATTACCAAGTTTCTCGGTGACACTGATGTTGCTGGTCTACAGATCTTGCTTGGAGAAAGAAGGCAGTGAAGAAAGGAAACCTAGGTTTTAGTCCCAAATTTTCCGCTGACATGCTCTGAGACACAGGCCACGTTGCCTCCTGGGTGGGGGTTGGAGTATAGAGGCCTTCTATAAGGCCCCTTGTGACTCTCAGTCTAGACTCTGTGGAAGGCCATGGATCCCTGTGGTGGACACAACCGCCGTTTCCCCGTCTCACATTTCCCCTCCAACCACGTGGGAGCCAATGGGTAGATGTCATATATTTACACAAGCACCGATAGCCTCTCTATCCTTCTTTACACCCTGTTACTCTTGCACTTGTGCACGGACAACGTGTATGAGAGTATTACAGCATTGTAACAGCAGGTTATTGAAAACACCTGTATCTGTCGTAGGAGCCTGGGTTAATTGTGGCATGTTTATGCAGCAGTTAACTGTCAGTGAATTAAAGCTACATGTATTACATAAGTCTCCCAAACACAGTAAGTTATAGAAGAATATTTAGAGTGAGATATCATTTGAATAAAATTAAAATGCAAAACATTTTAATTAAGTAATTAAGTAATTTAAGAGCATGTATATAGGTATAAACTAAGAAAAACATACATAAGATTAATAAATACAAAATTTAGGATAATGGTTGTCTCTGGAGAGGGAAGAAAGGAAATAGGATCATAGAGAAGTAAATGTATCTATAATGTTTTATTTATTAAGCTGAGTGTGTGGGTAGACAGATATTTATTATATTCTTTGTAATTTTTGCTTATTTGAAATATTTCAAAATAATCATTAGAGAAAAACTTTGTAAAATATTTATAAGGTACCATTAAAATAATAGAGAAGTAGGGGTAGCACTCCCGGTAAAGACCAAGTGAAGAGACCAGCAAATCCTCTTCCAAAAAAGCACCTAAAAAACTGGACAGAATTGACAAAACAGCCATTTCAGTGTTTTGGATGTCAATGAAGGGACAATAATCTGAGACACATTTATGCTTTGGAAAACTTCTAGACCTCAGGTAAGAGCAATGGAGATTTGTGGTTTAGCAGGGTGCTGCTTCCCAAGCTCCCCAAGCTGTGCGGTATGGAGTTTCTGCCCGTGTGGAGCAGGCTGCAAGGACTGGCAGTTTCTGTCTGCAGTGGTGGGTGACACCAGTGTCCAGTGTCACTGTCTGTGGAGGTGACTTCACAGAGGCAGGCTACCACAGGAGAGCCAGTGACTGGGCAGTTCCTAGGAAACCAGTCTTATTAAAAAGGAGGAGGAAAAAGAACATAGCACAAGAAGAAACTGAGTGGACACGTCGTGGTTGCACATCACAGTGAAAATAGATTTCATGTGTTTAACCCAGCCTGTTACTAAACAAAAGTGAACAATCAGACAAGGCAGCACCACCAACTTTAAGGGGGAAAATATCAGAATCTAGGGTTGCTACAATGTATTGTCTAAAATGTTCACTTTTCAACAGTTTATAAGACATACAAAATATAGAGATGTCTGACTCATACTCAGGAAAACAAAAGTCTATAGAAACTGCCTGTGAGTGTTCCCAGATAGTAGATTTAGCAGAGAAAAGCTTCAAAGCAATTAATTTAAATATGTTCAGAGACCAAAGGAAACTGTATTCAAAGAAATAAAGTATGACAATAATGAATGGCAGCAATGAGACAACAAATAGAGATTCTCAGTAAAGAACATAAAAATTATATAAAAGAGCTGAGCCAGACAGACATTCTGGAATTGGAGAGTACAATTTTGGAAATGGAGAATTCACTAGAGGCCTTCAACAGCAGATTCGAAATAGCAGAGGGAAGAATCCATTGAAGGAAAATGAACAGAGCCTCAGATGCCTGTGGGACACTATCAGGCACACCAACATGTATCAGAGACCCAGGATATACAAAGCAAAAAATGACAGAGTGGGAAGGAGAAACAGACATTTCAACCATTATAGTTGGAGATTTTAATACCCTACTCTTAGTAATTGATAGAATAGCTAGATAGAAAATTAGTAGGCATACAGAAAACTTGACCAACACTATTAACCAACTTGACCTAGCCAACATATGTAGTACATTCTACGTACTGACTGGAGTACGCATTGATTTCAAGCACACATGGAACATTC